GGGATCGGTGCCAGCCCAGTTTTCTGTGGTGGAAGCCGTGGGGCCGTCACCTGGTTGTTGCACCCCCCACCCCCCTCCCCGGTGTGGATTTTTGGGCACAGGCAGAAGGAAAAGGGAAGATCAATGAGAAGGGAGAATTTTCATCGGCTGGAGCCGGTGTGTGTGCGTGCATACCCCTGCTGCAATGACAACCCAGAGCAGAGCGCTTCATTTTTTAAAGGGCTTTTTTTTCATGGTCATTTTTTTGCGTTGACTGGACACATTTCAAAAGAAAATGTTTACATATTTTTTCTCCTCCCTAGGATTGCATCTAATTTACTATTCTCTGCCTGCATTTGCTTTTTCAGTTGACTGGTGCGCTTTTAGGGGGGTAAATTAATTAAACTGAAAGTTTCCACTTAGCTAATTGTGTGGCTCTGCATCGCTGGGCCAGCCTGCAGTGCTGGGGAGCTGGGGAGGGGGACTCCTCCTCTGGTTTGTACTGGGAAGCCTGGGAGCAGAGGGGCTCGTTGAACACCCAGAGGAGTGCGATGCGTGGGGCGAGCGAGGGTGGAGGTGGAGGGACCCGAACGCGGTCGAGCAGGGAGGTTGTGGGTCTTTAGGGCTGCGTGTTGGCAGGGTTTGGCCCTTTTTCTGGAGGGGAGGGGTGCAGAAAATCCTTTTGTGGGGCTGTGACTGTGGGCTTGGGGGTGCACGGACGCCCTGGGTGACACCACAGGGACAAATACGAGCTCCCACTTCTATTATAGCTTGGAGGATCAACCTGGCCTCAGACAGGAGCTATCCGGAGAGCTTATTTCTGCATTTTAACTCAGTTTTGATTTGTTTTGCATCCATTTTGCTGCCTTGAGAAGCTCTGTAACCTTCTGGCTTTGGGGAAGGGATTTAAAATGTCAGGTTTGTGGGGTTGTTTTTTCTTTTTAATGACAAAAACGGACCTTTAAAAAAATACACATGGGTTTTGGCTAACAAAAAATCTTCACGGATGACAGAGCCTCTAACTCTTGAATTTTATTTCCTTAGACCCCATTTAGCATTAACACTACCGTCTTTAATTATGCCATAACGAGAGGTGTTTGCCTTGGCACCCCGCCTTGCTCTCCGCTAAATTAAACGTAGGGCTCAAAACAAGCGCCCTGCCCTGGCGCGTGGCTGAGCTGCGGATCTATTTGAATGGATTAACGAGCTTGTAAATCTGCAAACAGGATTAGAAGTGAGAGCATCTTCCTTAAACTCCCCGTCCTCGCCTCCAGCCCCAACACCTGGGACCACTCGGTGGGGCTGGAGGCGAGGACGCGGGCGAGGAGGGGGAGCTTTGGTTTTTCTCAAATCTAAATAGCAGGAGAAAACCGGGTGTAAAGGGGGTGTAGGTCCTCGGGGGAGCCTCTGTGGAGACTTACCAGTGCATTACAGGTACCTACTGCTGCAAAGTCGCTGCTTCCTTGTCCTCTCTCTGTTAAGCATCTTATCTTCTTCTATGTTGTCACAGCAGTTAGGATCTTTTTTTCTGTTACTTGGTGGTTTTCTCCCTCTTTTGAAAGAGGAAAGGAGTGCTGACCAGGTGGGGCGGTCCGGCTTTTGTTGGGTGCTCTCCTTGTTCATCCCCATCAGCAGCTGCACGTGCGTGCTCTTTGCTGTGAGCATCCTCGGCCCCGCTGTGAGCATCACAGAATCACAGAATGGTGGGGGTTGGCAGGGACCTCTGTGGGTCACCCAGTCCAACCCCCCCGCCGAAGCAGG